CGCTCGTGCGTTTCTGGATGTGGTCGCTTCCTGGCTTCATCTGATGGTCATGATCGCTGTATCTCGTGCCTGGGCTTGCAGCACACTGAGGCAGCGCTCATGGATGAGTCATGTTCTCAGTACGGGAACATGACCATCGCGGTGTTGCGGTCTAGATACCTCCTACTGAAACGGGGGGGTATCCCCCTTGCCATGCCCCGTTCTAGCTCCTCCGGTTCTCGGAGGGCTACTTCGGTTCATGTCAGGGAGATCTGAGGATCACGGTGAGAGCTTCCCTGTCGAGTACGTCTCCGCGGGCCTCTCATTCCTCTAGCACATCGCACCACCTGGCGTTCCCGGACGAGTTTGCGGGATCCTCGGACAGGGCAGGGCCCAGCATCTCGTGCGGAGCACAGGCGGATGACAGGATGTCGATCGCTGCATCGGAGGGTGAGGCGGGGTCTAGCGTCTCATTCAGGCCTCTGGCAGATGACAGGATGTCGATCACTGCATCGGGGGACAAGATAGGCTCTGGAGATGAGAATTCGGCTGCGCTGCCTCCGTCAGGAAGAGTAGCGTTGCCCGAGTCAGATCCAGAGCGGACTGCTATGCTTTCCCGGGCCGCCGAGAGTGTCGGGCTGCACTGGAGGCCTCCTCCTTCTCCCGAACGCTCGAGGCTGGATGATTGGTTCCGGGGGGCGCAGGCCGGGCGTGCTCCTCACCGCTTTGGCCTCGGTCAAGAGGGTAGGGGACCTGCAGGCATTTCGGTCGACGATTCGTGCCTAGAATTCGGAACGGGTAACTCTCACGTTGTCCTGAGACCCCGGCCCGGATATGTGCCCCAAAGTTCCCACCACGCCTTTCAGGGATCAGGTGGTGAACTTGCAAGCGCTGCCTGCACTGCCTCCCGGGTTAGGTCCCTGTATTCCACTTCGCTGCCCCACTGCGGGTACGTCGGTGGTTCCCCTAGTCCCACTTGTTCGGTCGCTGGGGGCCTGGTTAGCACTCCCCAGGCCGTCTCGCTGGCTAATGAGAACCATCAGACTCGGCTACGCGATTCAATTCGCCCGGCGCCCTCTCAAGTTCAGGGGCATTCGGTTTACTTCGGTGCTGGACAGGGATGCTCCTGTCTTGCGTGCAGAGATCGCGGTCCTGCTGGCGAAGGACGCGATACAGCCGGTC